GGCGATCAGCTTTATGTGTAGAATGTAGCAGCGCCACAAATGCTAATGGATTATATATAATCAGGAAATTTTCTCCTCCGAACACATTTGGACAGCAGGATCCCATTAAAACTCAACTTAATAGATTGAGGACAGAAGGATATTTATTACCAAAATGTCAAGAGTCTAAATAAGTATATTGCGGATATCAGATCAGATAAACTGATTTGTTCTGCTGATATTCTGTGCTTTGCTGAGACTTGGACTTTATCTCAAGAARAATTTCCAATAGAGGGCTATAATCTTATTGCACGCCTTGATGGAGAAACAAGGTCATCCAGACGACGCCCGGCCAAGGGCCTTATAATATACTCAAAACAAGATCGGTGCCCAGATCTATCAGAAGGATCATTATCAAGGAACATCACAGGTTCAGSAMASGTTTACCAACTATTAAACGTAAACAATTCCACAGTTTCTTTATCACTTCTGTACAGGAACCCCACGTATAGATTGCCACAATTTAGAGAGCAAGTGGTGAATAATATCCGTCAGATAAATGAGCAGTTTAATGGACCATAAGTAGTCCTTGGAGACTTTAACACATGTCGCCTCACAGCAACTGACGCTTTAGAGGCTCGATTACAACAGTTGGGTTTTCAATCTGCATTGGACAACGCAGCCACAACAAAACAGCAAACAGCAATAGATTGGGTATAGATAAACATGGATCCATGTAGTGATCATGAAGGAATATTTTTAAGTTTTAGAAAATAGATATGTTATATACATACGTAGATGTACATACTATATATTAGATTCAATATTATTATAACTTAGTATGATAATATTAGGTGTAAGTCACAGAGTAATGTAATTTATAAATAAATATATATTATATTTGCTCTGTGTTTTTATAAAGCAAACTGTAAATATATAAACATATATATTAAATATGTAATAATATAGAAATATTATAATTTTTTCCCATTAAGTTTATGTTAGTAATAAATAAAATTTTAAATAACTACAAACGACTAAAAGATCTATTTTCTTTAATAATTAAATAACCTTAATGTTTCTAGCAAACAGACAGGCTAAAAAGAATTAGTAAAATGTTACCCTTTGAATGAAAACCACTGGCCAGTTACGTCTTTAGATTTGCTTAAGCACATAGTTGCTAAAAGAAATGCACCTGTGAAGGGTATATTAGCTTCAGTGMMGCCGAAGTTAACGTTTTTCCTTGTTTTAAAATATCATCATTACTATTTTCGAATGAAAATTTCATTTCGTTTTGGTGAATATTTTCGAAGTGACACGAAAATTTGAAAAGGCATTTCTGAGTGCTTGGAAGTACATGGCGAAAGTTTAAACGCGTTTTTCTGAAAACGGTGTTTTCAAAGTCGGTAATCAGTTATTTCCTTTCCAAATAAATATTTTTACTAATCTTCTTCTTGATTGGCGTAGACACCGCTTACGCGATTATAGGCGAGTTAACAACAGCGCGCCAGTCGTTTCTTCTTTTCGCTACGTGGCGCCAATTAGATATTCCAAGTGAAGCCAGGTCCTTCTC